CAGTAGCAGTAGCAGCAGCAGCAGTAGCAGCAGCAACAGCAGCAGCAGCAGCAGTAGCAGCAGCAGTAGCAGCAGTAGCAGCAGCAACAGCAGCAGCAGCAGCAGTAGCAGCAGCAGCAGCAACAGCAGCAGCAGCAGCAGCAGCAGAAGCAGTAGCAGCAGCAGCAGCAGCAGCAGCAGCAGCAGCAGCAGTAGCAGCAGCAGTAGCAACAGCAGCAGCAGCAGCAGCAGCAGCAGTAGCAGCAGCAGCAGTAGCAGCAGCAGCAGCAGCAGCAGCAGCAGTAGTAACAGCAGCAGCAGCAGCAGTAGCAGCAGCAGCAGTAGCAGCAGCAGCAGCAGCAGCAGCAGCAGTAGTAGTAGCAGCAACAGTATACATGATGGTCGTGTGAGCATATTCACTTTTATATTGCTATATGTTCTAATCGTAATTACTGTTATTAGTTAGTTACTATTATTTAGTCAATATTTCATTAGTTATAATTATATCATATTAAAATTGTAACTGTATTATATTATGTTGATACACTACAATACTACGTTACGTTATTCAATGTAATTATATTAATATTATACCATTGGTAATTATTCTGTTTAATTGGCCGGGGGGTGTTCATGTAAATGATGACGCGGACATTAGATGACGTAGCAACCGATGACGTCATTCTTACCTCCTCACTCCCTCGCGCATGCGCTGCACGCGCTGCGGCTGCAATCCGGTCACGACTAGCGCCATCAGGTGGTCGTCCCGCAAAACATTCACGATCACCTCGGCTCTGCTTGTCAGTGCATCCTGGCGGTCGGCGGGAGAATCGGTGGCGACGACCGAGAACTTGTAGTGCGTGTCGGCAGGTGCCGCCACTAGGCTGAGCTGCTGCACGTTGCGGATTGTTCCGGTGTCGCGCTCGACGGTGAAGTAGTCGTACGGTACGTCGTGTAGGGAGTAGGTGACGCGTGCGTTGTCACTGCTGTCGCTGTCAATCGCCTGCGGGGGACACAGAAGGCTGTTAATTGTCGTGTATGTATGTGTGTGTGCGTGCGCGCGTGCGTGCGTGCGTGCGTGCGTGCGTGCGTGCGTGCGTGCGTGTGTGTGTTTCGCTGCTTTCGCTGACAGCCATTGACCTTCCCCTCAATATACCTGTGTGTGAACGATGACCTCATAGGGCGGGGTTTCGCGCTCGATCACTCCATAGTATCGCTCTCCCGTCAAAGCGGCATCATCAAAGACGAACGTCGGCGCCTTGTCGTTGCGATCCAACACCGTGACGACGACCGTCGTCATGGCAACGGGCTCTGCGTCGGCATCGGCGCGGCTCCGGTAGGTGGCGCGCAGGCGCAGGCTATAAGAGGGGATCCGTTCTCGGTCGAGCAGCGTGTTGGTGAGCACGATGCAGCCCGTGTCGTCAGAGACCGCCGTGAACTTGTCGTCTGTGAAGGACGGAGGCACGGCTTAAGGCACGAACGATAGGAGCGTTTCACCGGAATTCGAACATCTTTGTTCCGGAGCATATTACGCGCGAAAACTAAAATGAAATTTTTCAGCTTGATCGCGTTTCTTCGATCTAGACTAGACTTATATCTTCGTTATAAGGGCGAAGCCCGCAAAATTAAGAGACATTTTTATATTCTCTTTGCGTTCTCCATTCATCCACGACCAAGAAAGATCATCTCTGAGAGACATACACGCTGCGACTGACAATAGTCGTGTCTCGTGTCTCATGCCTTACATCTTTGATCTTATATCCGATCTCATCGACATATAACATCATGTCTCATGTTTTATGTCTGCTGTCTTGTGTCTCATGTCTCATATCTTTTATCTTATATCCCATGTTTAATGTCTCATGCCTTATGTCTCATGTCTCATATCTTATCTCTCGTGTCTCATATCTCATGTCCCATATCTTATCTCTTTTATCTTATATCCCATGTCTCATCTCTCATGTCTCATGTCTCATGTCTCATATCTTATCTCTCGTGTCTCATATCTCATGTCCCATATCTTATCTCTTTTATCTTATATCCCATGTCCAATATCTCATGTCTCATATCTCATGTCTCATGTCTCATATCTT